TTTTTTTTTTTTTTTTAATCTTGGCTCCAAGTACACAAATGCACTCAGTCAGCATTCATGTCGGTTTCTGAGAAGTGTTGAGAGATCTCAATATCCTCTTTTATACAGCCTTCAGTTAAAAGTTTTAGTTACTGTACAGGAATTTTCTGAGTTATAAAGAAGACAGGTACTTTAGGGAGTACAGAAGAAATCTTTGCATATTGGACAAACCAGAAGTATGAGACATGTAGCCTTCTCTTACACTAACCTGTCAAAACCGTAACTAATAAGGATATTGGAACCACATGGAATGAGAGCTGCATGGTCCCACTGGTATGTGGCACTCTGCTTCCTGCAAGGTACTGTTTAGCATGCAAAGTACAAGTTATGAATCTAAAACCTCTGAATGGTATTCATTCATATGAAAGATTTTTTTTTCCTTGGGACATAGTACCTTTCAGTGTACACAAGCTGGAAACTCATTCAAATATTAGAAAGTCAACAGAAGGCAGAATGTTATCTGAGGAAGCTTGGAACTGTTAGTCCTAAACCCTCCTACTTCAAGGTGGGCTACATCTTGATATATTTAGCTCCTGAGCAATGAGAGGGAGGATGATAGCAGGAGCTCATAAATTTCATCGTGCACAGTAGTTGATTGGTTAGAATATACATTAAGTACTGGGTGAAGAGGAGCTTTTTTTAGAAGTAGACTGTTTTATAAATATATTTTAAATGTTTCTTCAAATGCCTAAAGCAAAAGATAGCATTTCTTTTTAATCAGGGTATTTATTTGTTGAAATTAATGAATAATTTATTTCCTTGCTATCTTGGTTGTATGTCTTCTTTCTGTGGATCCTTGTCAGGTTGTACTTCAAATGGATATTTTTAGACAGCAGTGTTGGTCTTGGGGAGTAATTGAAGCATAGCAGTAGGTGAGTTATATGTCCCTGTAGTTGGCCTTTGGACCTTTTGAATGTCAGTTTTTATAGTAATTTTGTTACTTGAAAACATGCTGTGGTGATTAAGTGTTCACATCTTTTATCCCAGCAAATCAGTTGCCATCTTTACATTGATCAGTCAGGAATACAGCAAGCTTACTATGTTGTGTTCAGTTGTCTTCGTGATATACATAAAACGAGTACAGGGTAATTTTTCCATCTGACCTTCCCTCAGTCTGATCTTGTCTCTATTTTTGTTAATGCAGATCAGGTAGTGTGACTCAAAGGGGTCTGAATGCACGTCTTCTAAGTATGTTTATGAGTTTTTGTCTACTTATTTGTCTGTTTATTTTGACAGTGGCTTGTGTGCACATGTTTTTTATGTATTTATTTGCACGCCTGCATGTACTTGTCAAAATACCTTCCAGAGTTTGCTTCCAAAATGCTGGACCTGGTTCTCAAACTCGTGCAGTTACTTTGCTTTAAAAGACTTGTGGCAAATATAGGTAAGTGAAGGAACAAGTGAAATCCAAGAGTGTTTTTGTACTGAGAGGTCTAAACTAACAGGTTGATGATATAATGAAATTTCTTTGACAAAGAAATCACAGTGATACCTTTGAATAGTCATACCATTTACAGCATATTTAATTACAAAAGCATCTCATGTGAAATAAATAATGGAAAAAATTAATCTATGAAAGCATCCTGGACTAAAACAAAATGTCACAGAAAGAAAACAGGAAAATATTGATCATTGCTGTTTATTGGCACATTAAATGATTTCAGCTGATTATCTCAAGTGATGCTAAAGAATTTAATCTCCAAGAAAATGAAATCACCCTCTGAGATAATTAAAAATAGACTTAATGGCTTAACTTCCTTCATCAGAGCATAAACTTGTATATGTTTTAAGTACTCAGGCAGAAGTATATGTAAAAAATGGAATTTATTTGTAGTAAGGTACAAGGACTGTCTAATTTTGCACTGATAGATGAGAGTTCAAGAATATTTTCTTTAGCTTGAAAGCTCCATGTTCCAGGATCTCTTTAGACAAGACACTTTTTCAAAAAACATAGATTTGCAGATTTCTAAAATATTCTAGGAAATGGATCTTGAGATAACCCTTCTTAGAAATTGTGTGCTATAATAATGCAAGTTCAAACAATTTAATGTATAAGAGTCAGTTGATGTTCTAGCTAATTTTATTCAGTGTTGTGATGACTTCATAGCATTTGATGGAAATAAATTAAGTAATAGTTGATATATGAAAACAAACTAGATATTCCCTCAGCCTGAAAACAATTTATGACATACATGTTTCTATGGAAAATCTTTGCTGAAATTATACATACTACAGTTACTGATACAGTGATTCTCTATTTAAAAGATTATTTTTTCAACAAAAATAAAATTCCAAAACATGATAAATTGTGGCCTCACTTGATTTTTGCACTAGTTTCATCCAAAATAGATTGTATTATGCTGTGAAGATAGAAAAAATGATATAAAACTGATATAAGTGCTGACATAAAAACACAGTGCTACAATGGCATCATGACCATCATTATGGTCTCATGATGTGCAGACTTCTCCATAATTCCCTGGATTTTCAAACGTATGGTTAAATGCTTAACCTACCTGCAAACATACTGCCATGGGTTATGCCAGTCACAAGGCAGTTTGTGCAAAGACACCATCCAAATATCTGACAAGAACTTTAGCTCCAGTAGACTTTAGCATATGCAGGTTATGCCCACTTTTGGAAGCAAATCTAGAAGATTCACTCCAGTTTTTTCTCACTCCCAGTGACAGATACTGTTGAATTTTAACATATTTCATAATGGTACTTCCTTTTTTCCACAGAGGTGCAGGGCAGAAATCTTGGTCAAAAAGTATGATCTTGTCTTAATATTAGCTAACCTTCATGTAATTCCTTTCTTGAATGACCCTGTTAAAGTAATTTCCCAGCATGGGCTATTAGTATTAGCATTTTCTACCTTTTTACTACTATAATAAATGAAAATACTAAATTACATCTATCCCTGAACTGTTTATTAAGAAATTTGCTTGCTGGTATTCTTTTCAGCTTTTCCTGTTATAAGCTGCTTTTTTTTTTTTTTTTTTTTTTTTTTTTTTTTTTTTTTTTTTTTTTTTTTTTTTTTTTTTTTTGTTTTGTTTTGTTTTATTGAGACTTAGTTCTCTCCCTTTTAATTAACTTTGTTCTATTAACCAATAGCAGATAAATTCCTTTTACCACACTTCCTTTCTCATTAACATTATTTTTGACTTTGATTGTATATAAAGTGGACCAATTAAGATAGAAGGAAATGAAAAAAAGCACATCAGCATTATAAATTGAGTGTATTACGGTGACCAGGCTAAACATAAAACTATATGTTGAATGAAATGTGACACTTAAATAAAAACAAAATGTTTATGGAACAATTCTGTGACATAGAACAGCAAAATCACAACACCCTACTTTAGACATAGGACAAATCAAATGGAAAAATAATAATTGCACGTTGCCTTTTAATGGTTAGTTACACTTTCTCCCAGAACTCAAGTCTAATTATAATGCATTTTCCCACTCTTTCTTTTTCTTTACAGTACTTGGGCTGTATAGAAGTCTTACGGTCAATGAGATCTCTTGACTTCAGTACTAGAATGCAGGTTGCAAGGTAAGATTTTGTACAACTACATTTTTTAAAGCAACTTCTGAATTCTGCCCGCAGAGTAAAAAGGCCAGAAAGATGGCAAAACATGTGGTAAAGGATTTTTGGATACGATAAGTCCACTTTTAAATTTTACTTTTACATGTAAATCCCTCATGTGATATTAATACAGTTTCAGCAGGACTTAAAAACTATTTTCTCTGTGGATTTTTAATATGCTAGGAGCTACTTTAGAAAATTTTTTGCCTGTTCATTTTGTCAAGTAAAGCACTTTTCCAGGTACCAATTTAATGGCTTTTAAGCCAGTGAGAATTAGAATATGCTTAAAATCTATGATCTCAAAATTAATCTAGGGACCTGGTTTGGCACCCATGATTATGGGCTTTATAGTAATTTCTTACGAAAAGTAAGAAACTACATGCATAAAGAATATAAAGGAAAATATATCACCCCAATGATACCAGAGACAAAAAAGAAAAAAGAAGAATGATTACTTTTTCAGACTGTGTGCAAGAAACAATAAGTTTGTATTAGATTCTTATGACAGTTCTTTTAAATGTATCATGGTATTTTTGTAAGAGCAGTATATAAGTACAAGACTAAAGAAGTAGAAGTGTCCATGAAGTATTTTTCTTTTCTATGAAAAATATTTTCTGAGAACTACAGGTATGGTGTTTTGCAAGCATTTTCACTTGAAAATCTGAGTCATTGATTTCAGAGGAATGTAGCAATGGTGTCTTCTAGAAACTGGAGACCACTTTTTCAAATTCTGGAATTGAAATGATAAAGAAATCATTTTCAAAGAAACATATATAAAGTGATATGACTGGATACAGTGCTTGAATTTCAACCGTTTGAGGCATCTTACACTTGACAATAAATAAATCTGTCATAAGCCATATATCATAACATAAACAGCTAAATATTTCTTTTATTAAATGAGAAAAATCACTTGTTTTTAGGCTTGGATTCTAATCATATGATCTATGTGCATTGACTTTGAGTTACACCTGCATACAGCAGCTTTGAATTGGGTCATGTAAGTCCTTACAAAAATTTAACCATTGATTTGTCAAGATGCTGCACTGATGAGAGGCATAGAAGCCAAAGGACAGGTAAATGACCAAATCCCATTTTTCAAACAATGTAGACTGTGGAGGCATTTGATAATTTTACTACTGTACTTTTAGAAATGTATAATGTACATTACTGATGTATTTCAGCAGTGACCTTTGAAAATTATTTCATATTTAAGCACACTTGTACTTCCAATGTAGATGGTACTTTTATATTTACCACTTGGAAATTCAGTGATACCGGCTTATGAAACAATTGTGATAATTATTTGATTTGTTTTCTATATGTGGAAGTGAATTAATCTTAATTTTTCTGCACAGTTCCCTTTACTGTATGCCTTCATTGTAATATTATTATACTTTTCTTATTTTCTAGCTTAAAGGCACTATACTGACATGAATACATAAGCATATTTGGTGATCTGAAGCAATATGGTCTACATAAACAAAATATCTTTGCCTTGTAGTTCCTCCAATTAAAAAACAAAAAGTTTATTGGCTTCTACTGTGAAACAAACTTGGAATTGTATTCTTTTTCTGTTGAAGTTATAGCATATATTACTCCATGAAATAATTTTGTTATTCCACCTTCCTCTAATTATATCTAGAGCACAGATTTTTTTTTTCAAGCAGGAAGCCGTATCTTCCTGATTTGCTTTTTATTTTGTATTTACAGTTTTATATTTATCATAAATGAAATCATTTTAATAATGCACTTCCTGATCTAAAATTTTACCTAAAAAGGTAGCTTTTGAATTGGGACCTAGAATCTTAATCTGCATTTCATTAATTCATCTGGCTCTAGAAATCCCCTTGTCATGTCCTAGGTTTTCAGTACTCACACGCTTTGTTATGTAGCATTTCACATACAAGCCTGTTGTTTATTAAGAAAATATTAAGGAATTGCTAGAATTCCCACATGGTAATTAATTTTATGGTGTATTTTAAGAAATATAACATAGGCCTCAAGGTATGTACTGAATTAATAAGGCTGATGTTCTGATGTTACAGGCACCAGTTCCCTCTTAAGAAGGCACCTGGTGCCTAATCATCTGTGCAGCCCTTTGATTACAAATAAAATAAAAGCACCCGAAAGTTACGCTTATGTCTACTACATCCTACATGTATTTTCAGGCATGTCCATTGCTGATTTCTCTGCAGCTTGCCACCAGTAAAAGAAAACTCTCCTGGTAGTCTGATGGCTCCTGATGTGGTGTGACCAAGGCTTAGGTCTGTAGTGTTAGCTGTGACTGCAGCAGCCAAGGAGCCAAGGTCCAAACCTGAAGTAAAAGCTTCTCTGTGTAAACCTCTCTATGCTGTTTTCTCTAACCAGAAAAACACATGTCACAGCAGCTGCAATCCCTTTCTGACCCACAACTTTATAAAATTATCCTACTGCATGCATCACACCTGTTGGATCTGTAATTTTTCAAGACCTTTCAAAACCAGCCATAGTAGAAAGTGATCTGTCTTGGTCTGATATGACTTCTGGCATTATGCAGTATTTACTAAGTATGATTAAAAAAAAAAAAAAGAGTCAAGTTACTTGATTTGTTGTGAAAGCCTGGGTGCATTTGTTCCTAATAAGTAGGCATCGTGTCTGACACATCCAAAGCACTTACTCCCCTTCTAGCACTGCATCACATGCCTGTCCCTGCTTCCTTTCTTAACCTTACTTTTTCTCCATATTGCAGAGCTTAAAGATAGGAAGTCAGTTATTAGAAATCCTAAATTTGCCTGTTTTCTGCCTTCAAGTTATTACATATGTCACTTTATGTCTCTGTCAGCTTTGAGGATGAGCAAATCCCCAAAAGTAAAATAAGCAGCATCAGTTCCTAGAAGAAAAACTTGTGGGGCTCAGTAATGGGAGGGTAAGATGTAATCTCCTGCTCTGCTTGAAAACTCCTGGTGTAATTTTAGACAAACTGTTAGTCCCAGTCACAGACATTTCTATGATTAAATGAATTAGTGCTTGTAAATGGCACTTAAATTGTTGAGTGAGCACTTAGAAATTACTTAAAAATTGGACTGAGATTTCCACTTATATGGTGAATTAGAGGTAAGAAATTCATGGGAAAAGGTTGTGTAGATAATTTGAATGACTTTGAAATCACAGCTGTTATAATGCATTAGGAAAGTATATACATCAGTGTGCATGCATGGACATATCTGACAAATGAAGAACTTTGGCTTCAATTTCAGGAACTGCATCAAAGCCCCAGAGTAAATACTTTGGTCAGCAGCCTTTCCTTCCTTATTGCAGTCCTGTGAAATATCAACTTTTGCCATCTAATGCTGTCTTACCTATCCTATCCTGTAACTTGTATTTGTTTTGCCCTTTCATTTTTTGTACAATATAATGTTAAAACTTGCACCAATAAATTTATCTTCATGTGAGAGCAGTGAGCAAACAGTTTCACTTGGCATATTCTTCGTCAGATCTTAATAACCTTGGTGGTTCCTTGCAGTGGTATTACTGCCCTAATTCTGAGTTGAAGGAAAAAGTTGTGTAAAATTTCTAGCAGATTTTTACCTTTATCATTACACATATGAAGTCTCAAGATTCTCTTACTACAGGGGAAATAGAAGAACCAGAGAAGTATTAATCAGTTGTATTGTATTTATTCTTTCCTTTAATGAATGTAATATCATGTGAATCCTTGAGCAAATAAGAGGATGCGCCAGACGACGGTCAGCTGTTACACATAATGATAAATGAAAGCCAGCTGAATCCACGTGTTGCATCTTTAATTGCTCAGTGATAATTCTTGTAACACATGTGAAGTCAAGATGACTTTCTTGGGTATCAAGACAAACAAAAGCATTTAATTTTCAACATAGTGGAGGAACAGGAGGACTAGCAGAACAAGACTACTGAGCTAACCACGGGTGTCAAGTGGTTAAAGTTCATCCGAAACCTACCATCATCGTCATAGAAAGGGGCCACTCTTAAGATTCTTTGGCCAGGCTTTGGCCAAGCTTCAAGCTTTTTGTAAAAACAAATGTTAAAAATCAGGTAAAATTCCTTTGCAACATATGCAGTGTTTGCAGTTCATGTCATATGTTTGTATGCTCATTGTTAAATCTATAGTAGGACAATGGGTCCTCACTTTTGTGTTGTATGCATGAATGACATGCACTGGTTTCAATTAGATGTTGCATGCACTGTTTGTTGTACATCTGAGTCTGAACTACAAGGATGCATGTTCATTGGCATTTAATTGAATGCCATCAGTTTACTGCATGCAGCATCAAAAAGTCATACCTCCCCATGCCAAATAAAATATTAATTTGCATGTTGTTTTAATAGCAATAGGTCAGAGGATGGAAATACCTCATACCAGCAGTGGACCCAAATCCAAACTCTGATCCCAGTACTCTATATTAACTCTATTGGTGTCAACAGCTTTAAAAATATTCCTCTCCAAATTTGAGGCCTGAATTTTATTAATAAAATTATTAAACCAAATCCATTTATGGCAATATCCCTGGAGGAGAGATGGTGGAAATCCAAATGTTAGAATTGTATTTGAGTCCAATGCTAAACAGTATGAAACAGTTTAGTTGATGCAGTGTTTCACCTATACCTATGTTGTTTGCAGAAATTGTCAGCAAGCATCACTGAAGAAAAGGGTGGAAGATATTGCAAAAAAAGACATTGCAAAGCAAGAATGTGTCTCCTGTGATTCTTGAAGGCAGATAGGTAATCTGTTATCTGCAGTGAGTTCTGTATTCAGTGTCCTCCTTAACACGCTGTCATGCTTAAAGGTGAGTTAAGGTGTTTTATCTCTGCCTTCTTCCATGTGAACTCTGGGTGTGGGGTGGCATTAGGAGATGGCAGAACTCATAGACCATTTCCAGTTGCAGGAAGAGGTTGGCACAGTTACTTCAGTGTCAAAGCTCTGGGAAGCATGAGGTGCTAGCTGCTAC